CTAGCATTTCGGTCGACCGAAATGACTCGAGGAAGTGCAAAAATTTCATGTTATGCACTGAAGGCTGAAAGTCTACTTGGGATCCCCCATGGCATGTTCAATTCACAAAATATGCAAGTGTGTGATAATGTGAACATGCACGCAAGTGTAATATGGATATTTAAACATGTTACAATGGCCTATGGCCTCATTACATTCCATTTACAAGATTTGACATGTCAAACCCCTAAAGTTGGAAAAAATTACATTTTAAAGGAAAAACTTAAAGTTTACATACATAGACTTGAACTTAAAGGTTTGTGGCCCTTGGCCTCATGTCATACATGTCAAATACATTGAAAAGAGTATACTTATGTACACTTTACATACATAGAATCAAAGAATACAAGTTTTGTCATGAGAAGCTACGAATCATCCAAGGCAATGAAATCTTCAAGTTTTAAGTCCTGTACCTGAAATATGCCCCAGTAACGTAGGGATGAGTAACATAAAGCTACTCGTAGGAGATGAGCATGCATTGACCTAGCGTTTTACAGTTTTATCACCTTAAGGTGAAACATGTCAAAGGGGCTCATGCCACCTAACGTCTATGTCATAGTGAGACTCAGGTAGGATCCTAAGCTACCCTAGAGGACTAACAACAAGAATCATGACATATACTCATATGAAACAAGTCAAGATTTGAGACAACCCAAGAACACAACAAGAAGCATACTCGGAATCAAGAACTAGGCATAAAATCTATGCAAGAAAATAAGGATAGATTACACGACATGAAGTATACTTGAAATCAAGAACGAAGCATAATATCTATGCAAGTAGACAAGGAAGGAACACTCCATAAAACACGAAAATAAGTATACTTGAATCACGAATAAGGTATAATATCTACACCAATGACAAGATTAGAACATTTTAATTTACATGATAGGAGTTATACAAGGAATCAAGAACAAGGCCTAATATCTATGCAAATAACAAGATTGGGATAATCCAATTAGCAAGACAAGAGTTATACACGAAATCAGGAACAAGGCATAATATCTATGCGATCCACAAGGTTTGTGCATTTCATAAAACACGTCAAGAGGTAACATATGGAATCAAGGACAAGGCATACTATCTATGTAGGTAAACAAGGATGGAATATTCCATATAACACGACAATAAGTATACTTGGATATAAGTTAACAAGAATTGCGTTATCAATGCAATTTACATGGTTGGACTATACCAATTTACATGACATGAAGTATACTTGAAATCACGAATGAGGCATAATATCTATGCAATTAACAAGATTGGAGCATTTCACATAATACAACAAGTTTTAAATCTTCAAGGAATGGCAACTTGAAATTTAAGAATGAAATCAACCATTGTGGAAACTTGGATATCGCCCGAATTAAAACCGTACTCTTGGGATCACTTTAGGGTTACCCGCCCAAGGGTACCTTCCCCTAGTCTTGGGATCACTTTAGGGATTATCAACCCAAGGGTACCTTCCCCTATTCTTGGGATCACTTTAAGGATTATCACCCAAGGGTACCTTCCTCTATTCTTCATTGATATCCCAAGTCCCAAAATCAACAAGTTGTGCAAGTCAAGATTGTATCAAAATACTAGAAACACATTAACCACGTCTCATGCACAACCACGATTTTGAAATATACAAGTCATGCCCTAAGTTCGCATTAATATGATATGATGAATGTCGAATCTTCAGTGTGCGATTCGTTACACGCTATGCATGAAGGATGTTCAATGCGAAGTGTGCAAATCATTACACAAGGCAAGTCCAATGTCAAGTTACAAGTTCATTCTAAGCAAGATACAACCATTTGAATTAAGTTCCATACAAAGGAATTAATTAAATATAAGTTTCAAAACTTATCCGATTATTCTCGATTTGATACACGTGAATGAACTTGTCTAGAAAATCATGAATCCAAGGTTAGAAACTGAATCAAAACCAATGAACTATGAAATGGATTTTAATTACTTCGTTTAATTAAAATCTTTAGGTTTTGAAATTCATCTAAATGATCTCAATTTAATATATGTTATACAATATGCCAAGACTTGATTTAAAAACACAACACAAGTGAATACCATGCAAGAGAAGACCACGAGTATTAAACTTTAATACTAGAAAATAAATAAATGAAAGGTTTCAAAACCTAATCAAATATTCTAGATTTAATATATGTAAAACCATATAGCATGCATATCAAGAATGTCAAGTCGGAATTCCAATGGGGTGAATAGTACATCCGAAGTAAATTAATTAATCAAATTAATTAATAAATACTAGATTTCAAAACAACTCCGATTACTCTCAATTTAATCTATGTTGAGGAGTATACTAGGGCCTAATATAATATGCTAACACATATTGATTTCAAGCTAGTTAAAGCCATGTGAATTAATCTTTCATCTAAGATAAATATTAAATAAAAACTTTAATACTTATTCAATTGCTCTAAATTTAATACACAACAGTGAGCATATCAAGGGGTAATATAATATCATACTACATGTTTAAACCAAGTCATGAGCAATCGGGAAAATCAGATCCCGTACAAGAAAAATAAATAATAAAATCTCTAGATTTTATATTTAAGTATGGAAATAAGTAGTATAAGCATCAATATCATGCTATATAACAAGAATTAAAACTAGAACATCCCCTACCTCAATTTGAGATGAAAACGTCAAAGGCCCACTAAAATAAAAGTGCTCCGAATTCGATGATACCGAGAGGTTTTGTCGGGGACAACGCCGTGAACAAGAATCCGCAAGAAGGCCCATGAAAATCCCAACTTGACCTCAAACCCGAACTCAAGAAATCGTCAGAAATGAGTTCTAATAAGGGCATAAGGTATAACACGTCAAGGGGAACAATAAACGTTAAAGCCGAAGGATTTCTACAAAGGAAAAGTGGACCAAAAGAAGAGATAGAAGGTGGCAGCCATGGCTGCCATGGATTCCGGCCAGAAGAGAGGAGAGAGAGAGAGAGAAAAATCTCACTTTTTCTCTTAAGGCCTCCTATTTATAGAAAATCTCAAAAAGTGCCCCGAAAGGGCCCCGCCAGGTCTGGAAAAGTGGATTTTGAGCAAACATGCTCAAATGGCAAAACTCCGTGAACAAAAAAGATTCCAAATGAGAAAATATGAATAAGGAAGAAACGGCGTCAAAAACTGAATCCCGAGCAAAGAGATATGCCCCAAACAAGTTCGGCGCAAACTAGGGTCAGAAACTCTGAAACAGGAGAAAAATGACCAGAACGGAATTCTATGAGTACACGACTTAACGAAATGTGAAAATGAATCCCGTACGAGGATCCAGGCACCAGACAAGATATTTTGCAATAACTTTCGTTAATTGCACAATGGCCCCTACAAAAAGGGTTAACTACAAAACTGTCCCTGAATGAAAATATCTTCCAAAAGATATTTTCTTAGATACCCCTGAAGTAAAATATCTTCAAAAGATATTTACGAAAAACACTCCAAGAAAAGAAAATAATTCCAAAGAATTGTGCATCCATGCCCCTATGGACACCGGGAGCAATCAGAGTACTTTCTTAAAAAAATAACGATATGTATTTCATAAAAACCACGCAAGATCAAGATATGTGAAGTCAAAAATGAACTCAGAGCACGAAAAGTGAGGTTATGCCAAAAACTGACAAACGGGGAAAAGACAGAATAGGGAAAAGGACGAAATAGTGCATAGTGTCGAAAAACGAAAAATGTGGAAATGACTCGGTCCTCAAAGGAAGTTGTCAATCCATGGAAAAGAGTCTCGGAAATGATTTCTAAGCACTCGAGATGACACTAAGCGACAAGAAACAAAGTTCAGAAAGGAAAATTAAACGGAAAAAATTTATCCGTAAAATTTCAGGAAAAAGAAAAGGAAGGGAAATTTCCAGGTTGTTACACATTACATCAAGGTTGTGGAAACAGAAGAAAAGACAATGGTAAAGCTACATGGTGATTTGACAAATATACCCTTGAATAGGGTTTGAAGCCTTGTAAGCAGCAATATATTATGTACTTGATGTTCATTGTCCAAGATTGATTTGAGCAAGATTATTAAGCTGAGTCAAGGCTGTGGAAACCTAGTATGAACCGTCATTGAAGCTGCATTGAAGATTGACAATATATCCCATTGATTGCACAGAAGTGTAAACTAGGGTTTCACATTGTTGTGTACTTAAAGCTGTATATTCCCTTCATATATTGTGTAACAGCTTAAGTAAGTTGTAATTGGTGTGGTAACACCTTTATTCTTTTGTTGATAGAGTTGTGAGAGCTCTATGAGTCCAAGTAAGGGTGTTGTGGACAGGGGGAGTGCTAAGTGCACTTAGTGGGCTTGGGTGTATGTAGAGGCCGTGAAAACTAGTGTTTCAAATTGTACAAAGGAGAGTGCAGAGTGTGAGACAACTAAGTGTGTAACTACTTGCATACAATTAGTGGAGGTATTTATTGGCTGAGGCCAAGAACCAAGGTTTTTCCTTATTGAGAGAGTTTCCTTATAAATGTTGTGTTATTGTGTTTTGGTTGTTCTTATTTTCTGAAGTGTGTTTTGATCCTAAAGTGAAATAAGAAAAGAGGAAATAATTTACTTAGACCAATTCACTCCCTCCCCCTCTTGGTGTAACAGAAATCAACAGCAATTGAACTTGGACAACCTTAATTTTAGAGCTGCCACAAAAACAGAGAGGAAGGGTAGACGAACAATGTAGCAACACTGACCTTGTTCTAGAGACCTAAAGGGTAAGACATCAAATTGGGAGGGGAAATGAAATATGGGCTAAATTGACAATTCCAAAGTATTTCTAGATCTATCATATATATTATTATAACTTGTATTTATTATACAATGGTTAAAATTCTTATACCCATGTACAACATTTGAAGGAGCAGTTAAAATTCTTTAATACAATTTTTTAAGTGAGAAAACCGGTTACTGTTCAACCGGAGGGGATTTTGCACCTATGATTTACACCTACACGGCAACTCGCTCCCCATATCCTCCATTGCAATTCAGAACTCGCAAGGCGACAAACATATCCGTTTCTTATACATATTCACTCTCTCTCTTCAGATATATGTATATTTTATTCGCATACATGACACATACAATTGTATACAATTAAATTTCTCATTTCTATTCTCAGATATATTAGGAGCTAACATTGGAAACCCTAAAATCCAAATTTCGTATTCAGACTTCGCTGAACGCAACTTTGTCACAAATTCAATAGTGATTCGATCAAGTTCGTACTGGAATCACTTCCATACATTCATCTAACAACATGTAAGCATTCTCAAAATTCAATTCAATTCAATTCAATTCAATTCAATTCAATTCAATTTCTCTCTCTATTCATGGCTTGCAATTGCACTCTCACTACTTCATTTTTTCCCTCTCTTCCTTTGCTTAGTCTACCAAAAACTCGAACTGCAAAACGTTCTCTTCGCATTCGAAGCTCAATCACTTGCCATTTCGATAGCTTCGAGTCTGATGAAGACTCGGAATCTAGAAAAAATCGATTGAATTTTCTAAAACTCTCTGTAACACTCACTTTAGTCTCAGCTTCACTGCCACAGCCCTCTTTAGCGGCAAAAGTATCTGAAAAGAGGCGTTCTGCGAAAAAAGTGGAAGCATTGACACCACAAGAATTGAAATCATGGTCGCAAGGACTCCCTGTAGTGACGAATCGAATGCCTTACACGGAAATATTGAATTTGAAACAAGAGGGTAAGCTCAAACACATTGTTAAACCCCCTAGTGTAGGTTTGAAGCAAAGGCCAGAGGTGGTTTTAGCAGTATTGGAAGATTCTAGGGTTGTTAGGATTGTGTTGCCGTCCATAGAGAGTGATCCCAAGTTTTGGGAATCATGGGATGAATTGGAGCTTGATTCTGTTTGTGTAAATGCTTATACTCCACCGATTAAGAAACCCCAAATTCCATCGCCCTATTTAGGGTTTTTGTCCAAAATTCCTGCTTGGATGTTTTCATTCATGAAGTCGAAGCCGCAGTCAAAGAAAGCCTTGGAGTTTAAGAAGATGAGGGAGGAGCTGAAACAAAAGAAGAATGAGGAACTGTCAAGGATGAAGCAAGAGAGGGAGATGATAGATAGGGCGATTAAGATGCAGAAGAAGATGGAAGACAGGAAAAGGAAACAAGAATTAAAGAAGGTCAAGTCTGAGCAGTCTTTGCGTCAAGCACGGAGGAATTATATGCAAATGGCGAACATGTGGGAAAACTTAGCTAGTGATTCGAATGTTGCAACCGCGCTTGGGTTGGTTTTCTTCGTTATATTTTATCAGACAGTTGTTCTTAGCTATAGGAGGCAGAAGAAGGATTATGAGGATAGGTTGAAAATTGAGAAAGCAGAGGCAGATGAGAGGAAGAAAATGAGGGAGCTAGAGAAGGAAATGGCAGGAATTGAGGGTGAAGATGATGAAAATGAGGAAGGGGGAGGTGAGCAGAATCCTTATATGAAGATGGCCATGCAGTTCATGAGATCAGGTGCTCGTGTTCGTCGGGCACATAACAAGAGACTTCCTCAGTTTTTGGAGAGAGATGTAGATGTGAAATTTACAGATGTTGCAGGTCTTGGGAAAATAAGGCTTGAGCTTGAGGAGATTGTTAAGTTCTTTACCCATGGGGAAATGTACAGACGAAGAGGAGTGAGAATACCAGGTCAGATCCTCTGCACTTTGAACTGAAACTCTTTTTCCATATGTTTAAGCAAAATTCTTTGCTTGGGCTAGAGGGTCTTGTTGAAGCTACTTTTGAATTAATTGCACAGTTTTCTTTTCATATGAGCAGCACTCTATCAACAAATTATTTGAACCAAAATTATTTACAATCTCACTTGGCTCACTGCTTCTTTGATTTTAAGACAATAACCAATTAACTACATATATGACACTAAATTCAAAAGCATCCTCAGTTGGTGAACTACTGGTATAAATCAGTTTATGAGAATAGCATTTTTCTTTCCATTTTAATTATCTGATTTTTAAATTTTTTTTCCTTTACATGTTGTGGCTGCTGATCAGATAACTAACTTTATTTGTGGTTATCTTATCCAATTTGAGGAAAGCTTTATGTGGATAAACCCAGTATGTCTAAAGGAGAACTTAGCAAATAGGCAGTTGAAGGGAATTCTCAAAAGTGACCGACTGTAAGAGTATTGGCATTCTTTGTGGGAAACATCTGCATAGATAACAAGCAAATAATTGTGGCATTGAAGTTGTACCCTTTTTTTTTTTTTGAAATTTATCTCAGCCTTGAAGGCTATACTGTATATCGCATGGCACATATATTTTTGTTATTTCATGGTAGAAATAAGGTAAAAAATCAATTTATCATTTACCTTGACAATTGTGATTTAGATATAAATCTGACTCAAACTGAGCTTTTACACTGTCCTGTGCTCAACTCCATTTATTCCATATTTGCCAAGTCATTGGGCATCATGTATTTATTATTGTTATTATTATTATGGGTAAATTACTCCGACCTCCCGAGGTTAGGCTTAATTACCCTCCGATTAATTTTTTTAAAATTTGATGGTCAACTTCCCTTGAGGTTTGGTTGACTTAACTTCTGTCGTTAGTTGACCGCTTGGCTAGTTAAAGTCGATTAAAAAAATATCAAAATGCCAAAACTACCCTCTAACCAAAGTACACAAAATCTACCATCTCTTCTTTGTATATCTCTCTACTCTCTCTCTTCTGTATATCTCTCCAACACCACCACCACCACCACAACAATTAATGGTCATCAATTAATGTCAAATGTAACCAAAATCAACAATTATTGGGTACCGGTGAAGCACCATTTATGTAGCATGCAAATGGATTTACTTGTGAAGCACCTCTGATTTTCTTCTTTTTATTTTTATTTTTATGATTTTAGATCCATGTGTGCGTGTGTGCTGGAGGAGGGAAATGGGTATTTTCAACCATGTGTGCTAGGGTGTGCGCGCGCTAGTGGAGGGAGCTGGACAAGAGAGTGTAGAGAGAGAAAGAGAGTGTTGGAGAGGCCCAGAGGGTGCGGCGGTGGTGGAGAGAGATAGAAAGAGAGAGCGGATCCCTTTTCTCCTTTCTCTCTATAAAAATAATGAAAATTCTTTATCGATTATTCCAGCGAACCACCACCACCACTGCCAAATCCTTCGATTTGCTTTCTAACTATGTGATGACTACTGTCTGATTATGCATCCGTTTTGTTACCTTTTGATAATTCACGATCAAAACGACATAAATTTGCTAGAGCTATATACCATGTCTTCAACAATCCCTGTTGGCACTGTGTCAGATCCAATTCAGCGAAGCAATCTGGCGACCAAATCCACGTGCATGTATATATGCATACCTATGAGTAGTTTTGGTTAAAATTAATATGCAGATGGATTTGGTCATATATACTGGAACGTGTGTGCTTCCATGGAGTTTTTGTAATCAAGTGAAGCATGCAAATTGCCCCACGGCCCAGCTATGCTAGTGTTGCACACTTTGATTTTCTTATATGTGTATATATATATTGAGATTTATAATGTTGTGGGACAGAAAATTAGAATGGCCATCCAGCTCCCATATTGCTAGAACAGTGAGCCCAGGATCGCTGCCAGTCCTATGATCCACTCACACACAATGGTGGTTGTGGTGCTGATAGAATGGAGGGAAGAGAGGAAGTGTGGTGGGGGCGGTGCCGCGGTGGTAGTAGTGGTGGAGAGGAGATGATGCAGAACAGGATGAGATTCGCACACATGAGTTGCACATGTTTCAACGTTAGTTTTGGAGAAGAGGAAAAGAGAAATAAAATCAAGATTTATTTGTAAATTAGGGTTACAAAATTATGTTTCTTGTTATTTTTGGTAATGTTTGGGTTTTAGGGTTGTTTTTTTGGTTATTGAACAGTAACAAATATTTGATGGGTCTTGGATTTGGTGATTTGAATGTTTGTGTTACTTGGATCTTTCACTCTGATGCCAGGACTGATAGTGACCAGAATGAAAGAAGTGAATAAGAATGAGATGAGACTAGAAGAAAGGGGTGAGGAGACAAACGAAGGGGGTGAGAATTAGAGTGAATAGGTATTGTCAGACGGGGGATTGAGAAAAGCAAGATCATTCAGGGAGAAGAAGACACAGAGGAAGAGAGTTCTCAAACTCAATATTATTCAATAATACAAAGCTGAAAATGTCTTGAATACACATGAGCCTTTATATAGGCACAATGTTAAGTAAACCCTACTAACCCTAAAATATTGAAATTCCAAAATAACCCTAAAATCCAAACATTTCCAAAAGTAACAATAAACATAATTTACCAAAATAACTCTAAAATATTGAAATACCAAAATAACCTTAAAAATCCAAACATTTCCAAAAGTAACAATAAACCTAATTTTGTAACCCTAATTTACAAAAAATCCTAATTTTATTTCACTTTTCCTCTTCTCCAAAAGTAAAGCTGAAACATGTGCAACTCGTGTGCGAATCTCATCTTTTCTCCTTCAAGAGAGAGAAGGTGTGGGGGTGATGGCAACGGTGGTGGTAATTGAGAGAAGAGAAGGAAGCGGCGACAATGGTGGTTGTTGTGGCTGAGAGGAGAGAATGTGGGAGTGGTGGTGGATCAATAACAGTGAACAGGGGAGAGAAAATTATAAGTATTATATTATGTTAAAATTGGGGATATTTAAGTAATTAATCATTGATAAGTTGAGGGAAATTAAGTAAATGCACACGAAATGTTATTTTAAGTAACCGATCGTTAGTCTGACAGGAGCGTCAGAGTAACTGCGCGAGGTTGGAGTAATTTACCCTATTATTATTATTGTCATTATTATATATACAGAAATGATCTCTTGCACACCAGTGAGTAAGAAATTTATCCACACTAAGCATAATTACCCTTAGATATGATTGATATGTTTTTTTGGTAATTATCTTTTTTACAATTAAATCATATCCAACAGTCATTATGCTTGGTGTGGATAAGTTTTTTGCTCACCGGTGTGCAAGAGATCATTACTGATTATATATATATATATATTTGGTGATCTTCATTACTTTTCGTACTTCCACTGTAAACCAATTCATCAACTCTTGCTTGTGTGGACTTGGTTGTTTCACTTATAACGTAAGTATCTTACATAAAGTTTCTTTTATTGTGCTCATTGAGTGGTATATGTAGCTTCTCATTGATGCTCATCTGCATACAGTGCTGCTACATGTAGCTGTATGGACCGTTCTGTTTGTGTGGTAAGTGGTAACAGTATATTCTTTATTTTTTTTTGATAAGTGGTAACAGTATATTCTTTATAATTGATACTAATAGAAAAACCATATATTCCTTAAAATATATACCTATGATTCATCTAAAAAGAATTACTTGGATTTCATTCCCCTTTTTTTTCTTTTCTTTTTCTTTCTTCTTCTTCTTTTATTTATTTTTTTATCTGTCTGTTGTTGGCTATGCCACATTTTTCACTTCGTTTATTTTGCTCTTAGAAGCATGTTCTCTGAAATGCTGCAATGCTCTGCATATGACTTGGCTTGGGTTGAAATGACTGTTTTATGGTATGTTACTTTATCAGGTGGCATACTTCTTTGTGGTCCCCCTGGGGTTGGGAAGACTTTATTAGCAAAAGCTGTTGCTGGTGAGGCAGGTGTCAACTTTTTCTCCATTTCTGCCTCTCAGTTTGTGGAGATATATGTTGGGGTTGGTGCTTCTCGTGTCCGTGCACTTTACCAAGAAGCAAGGGAAAATGTAAGCATTTGTTTGGCTTGTAGCACTTTCTTTTCTTTTCTTATGGCATTGTGTGTATACAGGTTATGATTTTGTTGATTTAGGCACTGATTTCTATTATCATTGTTGAATATATCATCTTTCCACTTCTCGACTTTTATTTACCTGTTTATGTGTTCATTATGAAACTCAGTTACTTTCTGATGATGTTCTCATTGTGTTTTGTCGTTGGTACAAAAGTTGACATATGATTGTTGTATGTTGGTCTTCACAGGCTCCATCTGTTGTCTTCATTGATGAATTGGATGCAGTTGGAAGGGAACGTGGTTTGATTAAGGGTTCTGGTGGACAAGAACGAGATGCCACTCTTAATCAGGTTGAGTGGGGAATATTGCATTTCTTTGAATATGATGTATTCTTCTAGGCTTTAGCTGATGCATATCTACTGATTTAATTTAATTTAATTAATTATTATTATTATTTTTAATATACTCCAGCTCCTTGTGTGCTTGGATGGGTTTGAAGGTAGAGGGAATGTGATCACTATTGCTTCCACAAATAGGCCTGATATTCTAGATCCAGCTCTTGTGAGACCTGGACGGTTTGATCGAAAAATATATATTCCTAAACCTGGCCTAATAGGTCGCATTGAAATTCTGAAGGTGAGTTTTGTTTCTTGTTTCATCAGTAGATGCATACTTCATACTGGTTCTAATAGCATAGCAAGATGCTTTTTTTATGTAATTTATCTTTTACAATCCTATAGTCTCAAGTACCAGATTTTGTACTTCATATTGAGTTTTCTTCCTTTCCTCGTTAATAGGTCCACGCACGTAAGAAGCCAATGGCTGACGATGTGGACTATATGGCTGTTGCCAGTATAACTGATGGAATGGTTGGTGCAGAGCTAGCCAACATAGTTGAGGTTGCTGCTATTAATATGATGCGTGATGGAAGAACTGAGGTAGTTTCTTTTTCTGTTTTTTCTGTTGTTTTTCATATGAATAACTTAAAAGGAAATAGTTTTTTGGTTAGTAAGATTTGGTAAGTATTATATTAGATGGACTTTTGACATTGAAGCAAATGAGATATTTTTCTCTCAGCAATTATCCTAGAAAATGCCAGTGACATCACTCTCCAAATGTATCAAACAGGACATGTTAATTTATGCAGAAGCACAATTCACGGCTCTCTTAATTTGTACTTTGTCTTTTGTTGTGGACGTATTTATCCCAGCTTAAAATGCCAACTATGACTTGCGATAATTGTTCTTCTGAACTCTTCACTTGTGTAGTACTGAAGTTTTGTTTTACTTTTTTAGATTACGACTGATGACTTGATACAAGCCGCACAAATAGAAGAAAGAGGAACGCTTGATAGAAAGGAAAGGAGTCCTGAGTTGTGGAAGCAAGTAGCTATTAATGAAGCGGCAATGGCTGTAGTAGCCGTGAATTTCCCTGATCTTAGGAACATTGAGTTTGTATAATCTTCAAACTCAACTTCATGCTTTTATAATCAATTGCATGTGTCGTCTCTTACTATAGCTAGTTTGACATATGTCCTTGCTTAAGTGGTCATTCTGCACTTGATTTTTTATGTCATTATCTATCAATCTTTTTTCCTCGTATTGTTTGGCAAATATAAATGGCTCTGTCGAACTTTAATGCTAATGACGTATTACTCATTACACCTACAAAGGTACTGATTACCTAGACACATAGACTTCCAAAAAGAGGGAATCCTCCTACCATTAGTGTGGTATATGGCTCTGGTCCTATAGACATACCGCTTATGGTTTCAATCATTGTTGTACTGTTCTGTTAGATGGATTGAGTTGCAAGGTAAGATAGGCACTACTAGTTGAATTCTTTAAAGATTGGAATTATGGTTGCGAAATACAAATTATTTATCCATGTGTGTGCTTTGTAGTTTGCACAGTTTAGTGGGCAGATTACTAATTTCCTGAATTAGAAATTAGGCATGAATGAAAAAAAAAAAAAAAAATGAAAAATTGGAAATTTTCTGTAAAGCGATTCAGTTCTCTCCATGTATTCATGATTGCCACCAAGCTTGTAAGTTTTGATATTCTGGGATATATTGCACCAAAAATGTTCAACAAGTAGTGCTTTAATTTATGAATCGGTAGTTCCATCCCCTGAAACAATACCATTGTTAGGGCCATGGTGTGATGTTTCTGTTCATGTTGCGTATTTGTTTTTATTTATTTATTTTTTCTCTTTAAGGTTTTAAAAATAAAATGAATATAATTTATCCAAAGAATATAGCTGTTATAAGTTGTTTTCGTTTTCTTTTTTTCAATGTATGCCGTAAGTTACAGTTCTAGAAGGTGCTTCATTATTTATTTATTTTTTTGAAAAATTAATTTCCTGTTAAATTAAAATATTGATTCATTATGTACATGACTAATGCAATGTTGTGCTTTTGATTTTATGTTATATCAAACTTTGTTAAATTGAGTGTTTGAATCTTTTTATGATTTAAAAACAATTAAGGGTGCGTGTAAAAAGGACAAGTGTTAAAGTAGTGAGTCAATTCAACTCAACTCAACTCAATAAACCTTTTTGCAACTACTTGGGTCGGTTCCATGAATCATAATTTTCCATTCCGCTCTATGTATGGCCATAGCCTCAGTTAAACCACATGTTATCGAATCTTTCCTTACTAATTCTAGTCATGTTAATTTTGGTTTTCCCCTTCTCCTAGCATCACCCTCAATGTGGACCATGTCACTCTTCCTAACTAGCGCACGTAGTGGTGTTCTTTGCAATTGTCCAAACTATCTTAATCTATTTGTTCTCATGTTATCTCCAATTGGCGCTACTTCAACTATTTCCTTTCTTTTAATTATATCCTTTCTTGTCTTGGCTCACATCCATCTCGAAATTCGCATTTCCTCCACACTCTATTCATTGTTGTTTCGTAGCTGCCCAACATTCTGTCCCAAAAGATCAGATTTTATTGTGGTTTGAGTTGATAAAATGGCCATAGATGCATCAAAATGGAAAACATTATTTGTTTAGCAAACGTTAAATGTTTAGTTTAAACCTTTGTTATATAGGGGGGTGTGTGTGTGTATATATATATAGATGTATTTATGTATGTATGGACCTACGAAGGGGGTGCATTCATGTACACACCAGGTATAACTAGGAAGTCATACAGTGGTATACTACTATACTCTTTATCTGACTCAAAACTTTGTAAAAGAATTTATCAATAAAGAAGAGCTCCTAGTAATCTGAGAAAAAGGGACCTCAACATACTATGCTTGAGGGCTAAAATTAGATATTCGACCCCTTCAAAAGGCCTCCTACTCGTTTCATCCCAAATAACCACCATAGACATAGCAAAGTCACTTTCCGTACTGCTCTAACTCTCCTCGCACTATATCCACCTTTACTAGCAAGGACCCCCCTGCTAACCTGGGCATCACCCAGCGAACTATGTTACGTGAATTTAAACTAGTGTTTGGCGTTTCCTATGGGGGAAATATTACTTGAATCCATGAAGGACATAAATAATCTAGTTGTAATCCAGAATCAATATTCAAGCCCTGAACCTTGTACCTAATTTACCTGACACTAGAGGCATCCCTCCTGCAATTAATCCTCAAATGTTCATTTTCGTGGAAAATTCATTGAATCTCATCGTATGAGTCTTAAGTTTGAATTTTCAATTGTTTTCTCTTTTGAGAATAAATGGCATCGAGAAACTGCATCTTTATTCCGTGTCTTATTGTTTTTTTTTTTTTTTACTGGTTTGAATGCTTTGAAACTTTTGCTTATATAATTCCTGCAAATCAGTTTTCTTTGGCAACATAATTGCTCTTATGAGGAAATTTGTTTTACAACTATGCCATGTTCAATCACGTTGACATTTGATTTGCTTATACTCTATTGTCACTCTATTATTGATTAGGTCACTATTGCTCCTAGAGCTGGCAGGGAATTGGGTTATGTCCGGATGAAAATGGATCACTTGAAATTCAAGGAGGGAATGCTCAGGTATAATATATAATATTTTTCTACATCCCAAATTACTTTTTATTCTTCTCTTTGAAGTAACACTATAAGATTGTGGTAATGAAGCTGCGAATAATGCTAACATAATGGGAACTACATAATGGGAATTATTACAATTAATATGCATTGCCCTGAGAAAAACAGAGTCTTTGAAAAATGGCGCAGTCCTTAAAGTATTTTAATTAGCTTCAGCATTGTGGCTTATATAAAATTGCAGTAGGAAATTCACCTCCATTTTTTCTTCTGTGCTCCTTTTAAAGTTTAATCTACCTCTTATTTTACGCAGTCGGCAATCCCTTTTGGATCATATCACTGTTCAACTAGCTCCTCGTGCAGCTGATGAGATTTGGTATGGTGAGGGTCAGGTAAGAAAACCTTATTGTTTTAGTTTAATGCATCTATGCACAATGGTGGATCTATGATTTTTCTTGAGAGGGAGCAAGAATCAATAACAATAATTAGTCATCTCGTGATAGCTCCTCGAGCTTTATTAAGATAGTTCTGAATAAAGTTGCCTGGCATCCAGTCTGTATGAACTGTTCACTTTAGAAAAGAGGAAGAAAGGTGTGTTTGGATATGTAAAGCAAGTTCAAATGCCTTGTAATGTTGACTCTTAACGATGATGACTGACTTTTCTCTTCCTTCTGTCAGCTTTTACAGGTTAACCTTTTCCGAGCACGCCTGCTATTTTCATGTAGGCTAGCAGTGTGATATAATTCTACCATGGGTCATATGATTAGTAGAAGTCGGTTATCGTTGTTTGGAGATGAGGTGCCATGGTTCATCTTTTCAGTCACTCCACCTCCAGAAAAGGGGATCCTATTGAATTCTTTTATGTTCTTGGATATGCATATAGTTAGCACATCATCCTTTTGATAAGTGACACCAGTTTGCATCTTCTAGAGAATGTATTACAGTTCCTTGAGACGAGAATGCACTACAGTTATGTTGAGTTATTTAAGATAACCAGATATGATCTTTAAAGAAGTTACTTGGTGCCCATGCTTTTCAAACTAACATTTTTTTTAGAAATATCAGGTACAGGTCATGAATTTTTATTTTATTTTCTTGGAAAGAGGTCATGATTTTTTATGAAATATATATAGGATTAGAAAAGTGAGATTGTTTATTCCACCCACCCCTAACTTCTTGTTGTGAGCAGCTAAATACTAGCAAGAAGATAAACTAATCAATTCTATTGACCATCAGAATTTTGAAATTACCTGCTCCTAGAGGAATGTTCATGCACTCAACTGTGCTCTAGCTTTAGCATGTGATCATTTTGGCTTTGAAAACAAGTGCTTTATTTGTACACTCTTCACTCTAAAATAATGACCTGTGTATAAGTAGCCTAGCGATAACTTGGAGCCACTATGGAGTGGAGAGCAGGGTTCAAATCTGACCATAAAACAGATAATTGATTTAATAAATCAGTGAAGGGACTTGCACGGTGTTCAGTGTTTGAACATTATCCTTTCTGTCATGTTATGAGAATTTTATTCCATCTTCAGGACTGAGATTTTTGTGGTTATGAAATTATGTTTCATTGGGATTTCATAAGTTTAAGCTTCTGCACATCAATATCCTAATGCTACAAAGTATTGCAGCTGAGTACGATGTGGGCAGAAACAGCAGATAATGCAAGGTCGGCAGCACGGACTTTTGTTCTTGGTGGTCTTTCAGAGAAACACTACGGTTTATCAAATTTCTGGGTTGCAGATCGAATGAATGTATGGATTTTCTGTTTATACATCCGACTTTTTGACAAGTCTTACAATTTTAAATGTCCTTCATAACTAGGAAAGAGGAGATCAAGAAGCGAAAATTGTAGGAAAGGTTTACTGCCTTGAAATCATAAATTTTTTGTAATGATGAAGTGCGTGGTTCTTTCTTTTAGCAACATCATTTTTTTGTTGCGGTGAATATGCTGTGGTCAAAGGACGATGAAATTGATGTTGTTTTGTATGACTGCTTGAACACCTAATGGAATATTTCCTTTTTGGGTGACAGGACATTGATTTGGAGGCATTGCGGATCGTGAATATGTGCTATGAACGTGCAAAAGAGGTATTTCATATCATATGCCAGTAGCACTCTGATCAGAACAATTATTTAGATTTTCTTTTTCTTTTTAAATGAATAAAAGAATAATTAACTGAATCGCAGTCACAGACACATGACACCGACACTAATAAAGTAGGATATGGATATAGTGTGGACATGGCAATATATAACCATAAAATTTAATTTTTTACATTTGTTGTGTGAGAAGAATCTATTGAACTTTGACTTATAAAAAAAAAAAAAAAATGAAAGTTCTTTTGAACTTTGGTTAATTTTTAATTTCCATACTAAGTACTGCATTGCGTAGCATGTAAGATGAAGCTAAGCAAATGTGAAAGATTTTTATTTTTTATGCACTAATACTACTACTTCCCTATTATACTTTTTCCATTACAATTATATTTGCATTCTTACTCAACTCAACAACAAAGCCGCTAGTTAGCTTTAGTCATACCACATGTTATCAAATCCTTCTTTACTAGCCACTTCATTTTCTCGATGTACATTCATTGCCATATAAAACACAAAAATATCTGTTTCAGTTTTTATATAGCTTGAAGCATTGAACCAAGCTCCTTTACTTATGCAACTCCCTCTCTGTTATATAACCACTGTTTTCCATATCAGATCCTGCAACAAAACCGAAAGCTCATGGATAGTGTGGTCGATGAACTTATCCAGAAGAAGAGCTTAACCAAAAAAGAATTCTCCGATCTAGTTGAGTTGCATGGATCCCTTCAACCAATTCCACCTAACATACTTGATATCAGAGCTGCTAAGCATTTGGAGTTCCAAAATATGATGATGAAACAGAAGGAAACAACTATTAGTGGCAATGTGTGAGGAAGGTGCTTATTTCAGCTGTACAGGTTATCGTGGGGCTGTTTCAATTTTGTAAGCTTTGTAGGCCTTAAGTAGGTTAGTATTATTTTCGGGTGTGAACTGTTTCTTATTTTTTTGTCTTATAAGAGTACATTTTGTATTAATTGTTACTTATTGTATACAACTTAAAATTGGAAATTAGGACGGCAAGTGTGGTTAAAGGCCAACATTTTATTTATTTATTTATTCTTTTCAGTTAATCTTTTAATTAGTAAGCGTTAGTACTCGGTGTGATTCAGCTGATGTCCTTGTGTTTTCTTTGGAATTTTGGGATAAACTTGGGAAATGATACATTGGTTAAGAGTAGGAGTTGCAAATTACGACACGAACAAGACATGAGTTAAAAGGGTTTGGGTTTAGTATAAACGGATTTGGGTCATAAAAGGATCGACACGATTAATCTGTTTACTTAACCGTGTCGTGTTAGGGTTGAGGGATTGTTAGGGTTGAGGGATTTAGTTCATGTAACCGTTTTATAATTCATTTAACTAAACATGTTATAATCGTGAATATGACTTATGTAATATGTTGCCTGTTTAAACTCAATCATTATGGATAGTTAATTATTTTAACATAAGCCTTGTTTATGCGTTATGATTTTTTTTATTTTTTATTTTGAATAGTTGTGTTAATTATGACCATTTTTTTTTTTTATATTATTTAGTATTTGATTAAATATTAAATGTCTCGTTTTGATAAATGGATTAACATGCTTACTAATTTAATAAACAGGTTGGGTTAGTTTTGAAGATTCTTAACACGATTATTAAATAGGTTGGATTTGAATTTACCTATTTAACATAATACCCTTATATCGATACGACCCACGAACACGAGTTATCACTTCTAATTAAGGAGATGCAGAGTAAGGGTGATCTGAGTGAGAATGTGACCTAACAATATCTTGACATCATGTGGCGGGATTTACAGCCCTCGCATAACGTGGCGGGATTCTAACTTATATAAATTTCATTTGGCATCTTTCAGAGTATGTATCATTTACCCTATTGCAGCCTAGCTCTCGCGCAGATTTATAGGATTATTTTATCCATTCTCACTCTCAAGTGAAATAATCTAGAGTTTATTTATACTCCTATTTTATTTTTGTTTCATATCTATATCTACATCTATTATAAATCATACAATTATTATTATTAGAAGTGTATATATTTTTATTATTTATATATTGTTTGAATAATTTTTATTTTAAATTATGATTAATAATAATTATATTTTTAATTCACATTGGGAAACATTGATATAGAAAATAAAAGACTTCTGGTAAATTAAGATGGAGGAATTATAGCCGTAACTCAACAGTGCACAAACTGTGGTACATTTTTGACACTGAAACTCATGAAAAAACAAGTAATACTTATGTACGCGGACTGGATGAGTAAATCTAACACTCAAATCACACATTTGAAAATAAATGGTTACTCCGTAATAAATAAATAAATATATATGTATATATATATATATAAATTTATACACGAATTAAATCCTATATATAAAAACAGACAACTTAATCATACTGTTAGACAAGTATTTTATACTTGTTTGAAGTAGGTTGTGACAAATTCTTTAGTTTTTTCAAAATATTAACCGTTTGGAAGAATTTTATTTACTCAATAATCGAATTTAAACATATAAGTATTTTTTATCTTTGATCATAGTAACTCACTTGACTCAGTTTTCTCCAACATCTCAACCCAATAAGACCTCATATTTTCACCCCCCATATATATATATATATATATATATATATATATATATATATATATATATTAACTTGAGGTGTTCGGGATGGCACGAACTCTTAGAGCCCCTTAACAACGACAAAATCTCTGAGGACCCGGAAGGGGGCGTGCCCACCCGGGCTGGATAAGTCACTGCAGGAGCAGCGGATGCTAACCACAAAGAACACCTAGCGGCACTCGAACTCAGGTTTTGGACTTGTTAAGGTCCAAAGTCTAGCGAGTAAACTGCTGTGCCATATCCGAAGTGAATTTCACCCCTCATATTTGTTAACCCTTTTTCATTTCTTGTTCCGAAAAAAAAACTGAAGATAATATATGCATAAATAAGTGTTAGTTATGAGGAAATGATGCCTCATTCCTAAGAAACCAAAACTTTCATGAGAGATACCATTCAATATTATATATATTAGTTGGTATCTCTTATTCTAATCTTTTTTTTTTTTTTTTTTTTTTTTTTTTAACACCAACAAACCAACATATATTCAAGAAAAAGAAGAACTACATTCAGGATTGAGAGCATTTAACAACCACTGGTGCCATATATTCCAATCCGCATCACCACACTTCAGCTTCTAGAGCCTTCTTACTCAGTAAATGAGCAACACCATTTCCCGATCGGGAAACCCAGGCAAGGGACGAGCCCGCACACTCCCTAAGAAGGAGATTAATATCATTGAAAACAACTAACTGCCCCGCTTCAGAGGCCTGCAAACGCATCACCGATTGACAATCACCTTCAATAACCACATTATGGAAGCCCCATGATTTCAGAAACAGTAAAGCATACCGTAAAATCAAACTCTCTGCCAGAGATGGACCACCAACATGAACCAGAAAAACCGAAGCCATCTTAATCGGCTGGCCTAAATGGTTGCGAAGGATCAAACCACCCCCACAACACCGGCGAGATCGATTAAAAGAAGCATCAAAATTGAGCTTCAGAAAATTAGCTCCTGGAAGCAATTTATGTTGGCGAGACACTTCCAAGAATTCCGAAAAAGCATTGAAAGCCATCTGAGACACTGCAAAAGGATCCTATCGTTTGCGATTAAACACAAAATCATTCCTACATTTCCAAATAGTCCAACAGATAAAAGCCGCTAAACTAGAGCAAGCCGCAGGATCAGTAGACCGCTCCCAAAAAGCAACAATACGACTAGTGAGCAACCCCTTCTTCCCATTGGTTGATGAGAAAATGCCAAACCTTTTATTCCTACAATTAATTATATATGATACATATACCCCTTAAAAAATTCAAATGTCATTGGGCATATAAGATTGTTTAGTAAATACACATAAATACAAGGGAAATTTATTACTAAGCCCTACTTCCTTTTTTTTTTTTTATTAATTAAAAGATAAAGAAGTCATAAAAAAACTTCTTTATAGGACCAATAAGTCCTACTTTTGATTTTATTTATTTATTTTTGTTAAATTAGATACAAAATCAAACTTTCATATTATAACCTTATAAAATTACACATGAAATTTGAATAATAAAAAAAAATACATTTTATTGATTTTTTATAGAATAATTAATTAATTTTTATTAAAATCGTGTTTTATGTACAATAGTTTTTGAATTAAATTTAAATTAGATTAATTATTATTCAAACCCATAAAGCAATATTATCAAGTTACTAAACTTACAATAATATATATACATGTGAAGATGCAAGAATCTCCTTCTATTCTTTCTCTCTCTAGAATTCTTACACCTCAACCCGGAAAGATCCCTCTCCTCTTCATTCCAACTCCTATTTATAGATACTTACAAGATATTTACAAGATATTTACAAGATATTTACTAATTGCTGGACCTGGGCCTATTCCTCTGTAAGCCCTGGTCACCCTTGATGGGCTTACTCCTGCTCGGCCCATATGGCAGTGTCTTTCTATGGGCTGACCCAGCTGTTCGGACTGAAGGTTGTGTTTTGCGAGTCGGACCTGGCCCATGTCATCCGGGGCCTCCTCAACTGCCCCCATAATTGCCCCTTATTTAATAAGGGGTAATTATTGATGGCGTCTCATCATGACGCTGACGGCTCGAGATAACCACGTGGGGGAGCGAACGGTCAGATCCAGAATCAATGTTCCGGGGCTCGAGGGATTTCTTGCCTTCCCGACGCTTCGGCCCTCGGGCCCCCTTGCCTTTATAATGCTCTAGAATTCCACTTCATTTCCCTTTACCGTCTCCATCATCAGCCAAGTCTCCCTCTTTCTAGAACTGTGCTAAGCCTTTTCCGGTGAAATCCTTCGAGAGTCATTCTCCCAGCGATCTTGCAGTCCTCCGAGGTTAGTTTCGTTCTTTTTACTTTCGGCAGGCTTCCA